AGGAAATGAAAAAAAACCCTTCCCATTGTCTTAGGAATTAAGTAATCACCATCTCAAAGGAATGGCAAGACTACCAGAAAAGACAATCAGATAAGGCATTATCAGATAACCTGACAGACAGGAAAAACAACAACATTAAAATTTCTGTTGTAGGCTGCCTCTTCTGTGATCTATGAATGATGTATGGAGGGGTGGTCTTGAGCTCCAGGGCAGGGAATTTAAAAATGACTATATAAAGGCAAGCACACATGGTTCGTGGTCCTCCTCCTCTCTCCTGCTTGTGGGGGGAGCACCCTGTTGCAACTGCTTAATAAAGATTAGGCTTACTAGCTGCTTTGCTTCTCAATATTCTCTGGTTGGCCTGTTATTTTTTCCTACCCATGGAGAACCTATAAAGGACTCTATAGGGGCTCTTGTGTACCCCATAAGGAAATAAGGCCAGATTTTGTTTACAACACCATAAATGGTAATGGACAACAGTGTTGCCACTACTTTAGGGTTGCCATACGTCCAGATTTTCATTGTTTGAAATATAGCAACCCTACACTAGTTTGGATGTGTGCTTTTTTTTTTACTGCGGCTCTGCCCTCTCTCCACTTATGTGCTGGGAATATATATAGTGCATGTTGCAATACCACTATTGTGCTGGCATAAATGTCCCTCCTCCATTGTGTAAGTGGAGTAGAAGAGCCTGTGCTTGTGGCAAGGTGAGGGGTGGGGAATGCACAGATGTTTAGACCTTATGCCAAACCAGCGATGGGGATCCTGTGGCCCTGCAGATGTTGTGGGACTAAAACTCCCATTGTCAGAGATCATTGGCCATGCTGCCTAGGGCTGATGGGATTTGGAATTCAAAAATATTTAGAATGCCACAGGTTCTCCATACCTGTGCCACACCACAGGTAAATATGGTTACTTTTCACCTTGCCCACCAGCAGCTCTAGCCTTGCACACTGTCAGTATGCTGCCTCCAACATATTATCCATGAGGGAATGTGGCCCTCACTGGAAAAAGAGTATCCTACCCTTTTAGGAACTAAATCAGAACTGCCTCTTCCCTGTACAAACCTACATGAAAACTTCCTTTCACTTTGGAGGCTCTCTTCCCTGCCCCCTGGCCATCAAAGATGCAGTAAGTGAACAAGGGACCCTCCCCTCCTCAGCTGTTGCAAACTGGAATCCACATTGTGGAATAGCTGCCCCTGGCCCTATTACTGGTGATCCCTTAAAATACAGTACTGAAACTGAGCTTGCAGTGAAAAATGAAATCTGAAATTTGGAGGATAAAACAATGCAGCTAACACCAGCTACAATACCAAATGCATGTGTATAATAAAGCTACTTTAACTTGCAACACCCTTGACAAAGTTCAGCATGAGTCACCCAGATGTCACAGTGCAATATCTTAGGTAGGTAGCACTATAAAATTTTAGGTTGCACAAGCATAGCAGATACACACTCCACAGAAAACCAATTCTTCACCCTTCAAAATTTAGGAAATGTTCCCTAAGAAAATTGTGTCAGCATCGCCCTTGAGCCAGTGCCACCAACTGGACTCATCCACTTCAGCCCCGACTGGGCTAGGCGAGCTGGGTAGCACTTCCAGAGACCACCTTCTGCACAGGAACAGGTCAAAGTGCTGTGGACTCACAGCTTAGAGCTGTGAGCACTGGATTCACTTCTACAAGAAGACAGTCATCGCACAGCAGAGTCTAGCAGAGTATATAAACAACTCGGAGAGCAGCTCTGTAGAATATCTTCTTTATTCTATCTACAACTATTATACAACTATATACAGAGCTAAATAGGTCTAAGCATAAATGAATGCTGCACTGCACTGAGTGTCTGCAGCTGCTCTTAGCAGCAACCTTATCTCTACACACGATTTCTAACACTCAGTCTCTCTCTCTCTCTCTCTCCGACACTGACTGACTGACTGATTTGGTGCTGGAGCAGAATAAGTAGCGAGCAGAACACACCTCCTCCTCTCTGGAGAATCAGCAGACTCCTCAGGAGATTCTTGGATATGGGAGGGGTGAAATTTCCTCAAATTGCACCCTATTTTAACACACAGAACAATCCCAAAAAGCCATCTTGGCTCTCCTGATGACTCTAAATATTTCCTCTATAGAAGAGAAACCTTTTCCAATAGTTCTTTCACTTACAAATCCTACGGGCATATTTGTGGATCAATAGGGTAGGCCTGTGACCTGGATTCAAGAACTAAAGCATTTACCATCTCAAAAGAATGGTCAGACTGCCCAGGTAATGTAATGTAGACCACGTCCAGTGATGTATGCATGATGCCTTGACGGTGGTCTTTGGCTAAGGGGTTAGGCAATGTCTTTAAAGGTTCCTGCACACTTTTGCTCTGGGTTGCTCACCTCCTTGCAAGAAGGTGGGGGGACTCTGTTGCAAACAGAAAAAATAAAAGATCTGCCTTGCTTTCTATGGATCTTGCCTCCATCCATTCATCTCTGACCCATCATGGACTTAGGGGACTCAGTCCCTTGGGGAACTGGGCAGCAAAAGCCACCACCCCCTATTTTCCCTGCAACAATAGCTATGCGACTTATCAACATTTATTTATTGGATTTTTTTACTGCGTTTTTGCCAAGGCACCCAAGGCAGTTTACCATTGTAAAGCGCTGGTTATATATACGTTATATAAAACGTCGAGAGACGGAGACCTCTCATGCCAGCATTGGCGCCCTCCCTGGCCTGGGCGCCGTCCCTGCCGCCTTCCCTCAGGGCGCCAGGTAGCGGCAGCCTCAGGTGAGGTGGGGGAGCAGCTGCCCCGGGACTCCCGCTCTCAGGCCTCGCGCGGTTGATGGTCCCGTCAGGAGCAGGGGGTGTTATGGGCGCCGCTCCGTGGAGCTGCCGCCTCTGCCTGCGCCGGCTGCCCCGGGGCGCTGGGCGGAGCCGGCGGGAGGAGCCGCTGCCGCTGCCGCCGCCGAGCTCCAGTAGCAGGAAGATCCTGCTGGAGGCCGGATCCGGGTGAGGCGGCGCAGGAGCGGCGGGATTCGGAGGCCTCTCGGAGGCGCTTTTCCAGGCCGGCGCCTCAGGGCGAGAATCGAGGGGCGCCATGAGGAGGAGATCGCTGGGCGGGGGAGTTGAGTATGTGGGCCGCTGGACTTGAGAGACGAGGGGGCTGCCTTGGGGTTTGGGGGCGGGCGGAAGGGACGGGGGTGCGCGAGGGGTTGTCGGCGGATGGTCGAGCGAGAGCAACGGGGGGAGCCGTCTTCTCCGAGCGCCCGGCGTCCTTTCCAGCGGCGCGGCAGGCAGAAGTGCAACAGGTCTCGCTTCCCTGCAGCATCTTCTGCGTAGCGACTGGCGGGCGGGAAGGAGGCTTCAGGAGCTGCGCCGCCGCCGCCCGTGCTGCTGTTAAAGGCTCGGGGCCCGCCTGTCACCTGAGGGGAGGGAGGGAGAAATTTTTTTTAAAGGTTGATTTTAGAGTAACGTGGGGAGGGTTGAAGAACAAGATGGGGGGCTGAGCTCCGCTGCCCCAAAAGGTCCAGATTGGAGGGAAATCCGAGCAGCTTTAAATTCTCTCTGTGTGTGTATCAGATTCCCTTCCCGTGTCGAGGGATGAGTGGATCATTGGCTCCCCAGCCCCCAAGCTGTAGGGAGAGAGGTGATCCAGGACAGGTTAAAAGGAAAAGAGCCCCAGGGTCAAAGAAGGAGCGGTTCACTCATGGCAATTGTGGCAGGGCAGGCCCCACCACCATATCCTGGGCTCAGGACAATTCAACTCCATAGAATTCAGGGGGTTGTTATTAACTACAGTACTGTGCAATTTCTTTGAGGTGATTACCTTGTTTTGCCCCTGTGGCTTTTGAGGACAAATGATGATGTGGAGCAGAGAGGAACAGGATTAGCCAAGATCCCGTGACCAGAGAGATCATAGTGGAGTAGGAACTTGAACCCTAGGCCAATGCTGCTAATATACAGTGGAAGCCACTTCAAGCCCGGTCTGCAGACAGGCAGCAGAATGAGAGGGTGATAGAGAATTCTGAGGTTCTGCAATGCATTGTACCACTTCAGTCACTAGGCCAGAAGCCACATTCTTTCCCCAAAACTCTCCATTGTAAACAAGCATGTGAACAGAAACCACCTAAAAAAACTAGCAGAATTGGGGGGGGGGGAGTTCTAGCCCAGGTCTCCCTCACAGTCTACTGTGCACCTGTTTTTTGTTTAATGTGGGAGAGCATTCAAAACACTGCTCCCGCCAAAAAGGGTGCAATCCATCCTACCACCTCGTTTTGCTGTAGACCAGGCCTCACTGCTGTCCAGTGAGTGGTTTGACAACATTTCTGGGACATTCCTCAGTCACTGTATCTCAGTTGTAAAACATCTTTACCATGGTGACTTGCTGAAGTTGTTGGATTTTTAAACAGGACAAAGACATGTTTAAAACAGAACACAGTTGTTTGCACAGCTAGCCATAAAGATTCCTGCTGTGTTTACTTTGAGATTGGAAAGTGTCCAGTAGTTACAACTGATTAAAAAATGTACCGGTAGGTGCAAAACTCTTGTTTTGTAGTATAATATCTACTTTGAAGGAGTTGCACTGGTTACAGATAAGTTGTCAGGTGCAATTCTTGCGCTTATGTTGACCTTCAATCCAAACCCACTGATATTTGACTAAGTCCCATGGAACGCAGGGAGACTAGCTAGGGTCTTGGGTATCTGGAGACTGGATGTATCTGGATACATCCAAACCTGCCTTACAGGTTTAAGAGGAAGTCCTATTGGACATACTATTGTACTTTTTCAGGTTTGTTCTTTTTGGATGAGCTAGCATGCCTGTAACTTTATTGACCAATAATTGCACAACTTCAATTGTACTCACAGGAAAGTTTAAGTTACTGAAGTTACTGATCATAGTTGGGTTTTGAAAACATTTGTTGAGGGAGTTTGGGGGCAACATTCTTTCTTGCCCACCTTCTTAATCTGGAGGCCAACCCATCTGACATGTCCAAGGACATGGAGATGCACTTGTTAGACAGACTGACCACCATCTGGCCCTTCATTCACCACTATTCGGTATCCCCTCGTCAGCCCTAATTGAGTTGCACATTTATTGCCCACAATAATTAAGTATCCAAGAAGAGCATCATCAGAATTTTGATCTTGAGAGAACTGAGCAATAAGATTCTTGGGAACCACTAGGAAATGGGTTGGAGCTTGTGGGGAAATGTCACGGAAGGCAAGGCACTTATCGTCCTCGAAGATGATCTTCCCTGGGATCTCTTTGTGGGTGAACTTCCCAAAGATGGTGTTTCTGCCTGGCCGCACCACATGTGCTTTGCTGATCTTGTCGGCCATCGCTCTCCCCACCGCCTCACCTGCTCACTTTTCGTATGTTTGATTGAGGAGTATTGCAAATGTTGGCTTAGTAGCTCTGAGCTGGAGAGAAAGAATTCAAAACTCATTTCTGTCATGCTACCTTTAGGGGTGCAACAAACGCTTCTGATGCTAATACAAGTCCAAGGATAAACACCACCCCCCCCCATTTCGGAGCTGGGGTAGAAGGCAAGGATGAGACACTTCATCCTGTTGTAACATAAACAAAGGACAGCATCTGGGACTAGAGTAGGCAGGGGTTTCACCCTGAATTTTTGTCTAGCTCCCAAGTCACTCAGAAAGCAGTGAGATGCTAGGTGCCTCTGAGGTCATGGAAAGCCAGGTCTGTTTGTCAGTCATACGCCATTGAGGAATTGGCAGGTATAATTGTGGTCCCTTTATGGTTGGCAACAACATGATTGAGGGTTGTGATGTTCCAGAAATGGAATTCCCCTGATTGGTCTAAATACTTAGGAGGTTAATGAAAACTATTCATTTTTAGAAGAGTATTTGGATTGGTTTAGCACAGGGTTGGGAGACTTAGCATCCTCCAGATGTTGGACGCCAGCTCCATCATCCTTACAGCAGCCAGCATGGCCAGCAGGTATAGTGGTTTTTGTGTCAGACTATGACCTGGGAGACCAGGGTTCCAATCTCCACTTGGCTATGAAGCTCACTGGATGACCTTGGGCCAGTCGCTGCCTCTCAACCTAACCTACCTCACAGGGTTGTTGGGATTAACTGAGGGGGATAACCTCTTTGTGATATAAAAGCAATAAAGCAATAATAATGGGAATTGTAGTCCAACTACACCTGGAGGGTACAGGTTCCCCTTTCCTGTGGGTTGATGGGGTTTTTTATGCAGTCTGATGTTGATATATTTTATTTATTCATTTCATAAAATTTATATATATATACCACTTGATTGTAAGAAAAAGCCTCAGAACAGTTTTAAGTAAATGAGGGTTTTGTTTTTTTGCAGATTCATTTATTAGTACCTAAATTATTCTTAATGGTTTGCCACCACAGGGGCCTGTATTGACTGTTTTGGCAGAATAAATGTATTTCAAATAAAATTAAGATTGGGTTTAACTGTTGCTTCCTGCTGAGAGGGCAAACCAGGGTTTGTTGCTGTGTAAATGTATGAAATGGCCCATAGTCTGGAAATAGTACAGGATTGTTATCTTGGTTGTCTCGTTGGGTGCTGTGAAAGTAGTACTTTAATATTTGTTTGACATTTTTATGTTTATGTCTTTTTGAGTAGTGCAGACTACAGTATGGGCTGTTTGCGTTTTAAAAATTCTTTGGGCTGATTCAGATTACCATTTCTGATCTTTGTAGTTTGAAGGGTGCATGTGACTAACCCATCTCAGAATCCCTCACCTGCCCTGGCACTTCAGGAGCCTAGTAGCATTGGATTGTCGCTGGTTCCGGACACCCTCAAGGGGCCATGAGACTAGCAGGTGAGTTTTAGCTTGAAAGAAGCATTGAAAGTTTTAGCTTGAAAGAAACATTTAGATTTGGTTAAGACACAGAATTGCAGCACTTAGCCAGTGATATCAGATATGCCTTTTGGAGCCCTTAAGCTCCTGGGACAACAAGGGAAAGATGTAGTAAGGAGGACTGCATTATGGCGGCAGTTAGGTTCAATCATTCAGGGGTTTGCTGGTGTTGTTGCAGATCTGACTTTGTCTGTCTTAACCATCTCAGGTCCCCTTCGTGTTGTTGTGATCGTCTTGACAGCAGGACTGACCTGGATCCTTGTCAGCGTCTTGTTGGGTACCCAGAGTGGCTTCTCCCGCCTGCAGCAGTTCCTCAGGAGTAAGAACCAGAACAGCTAGGAGTGGGGATGGGGGCTATGGTGGGGAAGGGTTGGAGCACTGGGTCATGGCGGAACAGTTGCCTTTGCAGCTGCCACTGCCTTACCTGTGCCTGTTTCTCCATGCTTCACTCCCAGCCATGTTGTTGGGTTCAGGAAAAGGAGAAAGTGGACAACTATGGTTGTTAAACCTGGAGCAGGGATTGGATCTGTGGCCCTCCAGATGTTGTTGGACTCTGATCATCTGATCATCTCCGGCCATTGGCTATGCTGGTTGAGGCTAATAGAAGTTGGAGTCCAACAGTCTCTGGAGAGCCACAGGTTCTTCATACCTGATCTAGTGGTGGCTGTGTGGAACTGGCAGCAGAATAACTGGAAGGCTAGGGTGATTTTTAGATTAGCATTGCATAGGTCTAGTAACGGCTATTAGCCCTGAGATCCAAGTGGATCTTTTCAGACAGTGTAACTCCAAATACCAGCTGCTAAGGACGGACAAGGGGAGAAGGCCCCTGCCTTCATTCATTTCATGCTTGTCATCTGCTCCATGAGGGCTGCATGGTGAGCTGCAGAGAAAGTTACACTGTGCTTTGAGCATATTGTATCTGTGAGTGTTTCAGTATCTTGGGCTAGCCCTACATGGCCCTAAAAAAAGAAGTGAGATTAGAGACCTTTATGGAGCCCAGTCGCAGGTCACTAAAGTCTCTGTGCCTATAACATGTGACTTTAGAAGAGTAATTAGGCTTAAAACAGAAGCTCCCTCATGGCAAAATCTGACATTTACTGAGTGCAATTTATTTTCTGCTGATGTTTTCACACTTACTTCCTCAGACATGAGATGTTACTCTAATGAATAATTCCAAGAGTACTAATTATGTAACTTCTGCAGAATTTGCACTTACTGTTCCAATGCAGTTTATTTATTCCCCCCTTTCCCTGCCTTGCTAATTTTTGTAACCCAAGGGAGTTGAGGGCCATGTACATGGGCTTTAACACTTTTCCCCCCCTATCAATGTCCCTGTAAAGGAGGTTAGGCCAGCCTTGTATTTAAGCACTTGTTTGTTAGCCATAGCATGTAGGCTGGTAGAAGATGGACAGGGTGCACCATCACGCCTCTGAACCTAGCATGAGATCCAAGCAGGCTGCTGAGGTGGGGGGCAGCTGTCTCCTTCATGCCTAGTGTAGAAATGCTGGAGAATATACAGAGCTTAATAATATAGATATAGATATAGATATAGATATATCCCAGCCATCTGGCTGGGTTTCCTCAGCCACTCTGGGTGGCTCGCAACAGAATTAAAAGCTTAATAAAACATCAAACATTAAATACTTCCCTAAACAGGGCTGCCTTCACATGTCTTCTAAAAGTCAGGTAGTTGTTTATTTCCTTGACATCTGATGGGAGGGTGTTCCACAGGGCGGGCGCCACTACCGAGAAGGCCCTCTGACTGGTTCCCTGTAACCTCACTTCTTGCAGGGAGGGAACCGCCAGAAGGCCTTTGGAGCTGGACCCCTCAATTCCTCCACTGCAAACCCCCAGCAGGCTACTAAGAAATTTTGAATGCTTCTAACTTTTTGTGAGTTTGTTTACTAGTCTGGGTTGGATCAGACAGAAAGTGATGGACTTAGGGTCACTGAGTGAGCTTTGTGACAATGTAGGGGAAAGATGGGGAACCTGTAGCCCTCCAGATGTTGTTGGACTCCACCTCCCATCAGCCTGAGCCAGCATGGTCAGTAGCCAAGCCTGATAGGAGTTGTAGTCCAACACCTGGAGAGCCACAGGTGCCTAATCCCTGAAACATAGATTTGGACTCTGAAGACCCATGTTGAAGTGGATAGTGTCAAACTTGATCACATTTATTTATTTATTTATTTATTTATTCATTCAGTCATTCATTCATTCATTTATTCATTTGATTTATATACCGCCCTTTATCACAGCTTATAGTGTGAAAATGCAGGAGCCATCCCATATGGTGTTTTTTAAACTGACATAATTAAATTTTACTAGTCAGAGTAGGGGTGGGAAACCTGTGGCCCTACTGTTGCTGGACTACAACTCCCATCATTAGCCTGGGGCTGATGGGAGTTGTAATCCAGCATTGTCTGGAGCACCACAGGTTCCCCATCCCTGAGCTAAAGTGTGATCTACATTTTTTTCTGGCACCTGAGATTTCACTCCTGTTAAATGTCTAGACCCTACATCTAAATCCTCATTTGCCTAGTTCTTATAGTGCTTTAGAGATGTTACACATTTATTTCTTCAGTGATGGAATATATGTATGCTCAGGTAGCCTTTGGCACCCTTGGTTGCTTGGCTGGGAAGTTCTAATCTACTTTTCACCATAAAGAAGCTGATTTTTCCCCTGCAAAGCATTACACTGTTATTTTAATGATGAAATGGAGACTTGTAAAAAGTGATTTTGCAAACTGGATAGCTCAAACGAGTGATACAAGCCACATAATTTCCAAGTTTGCAAGAAGAGTGTTTCTTTTTTTGCTTTTTGAGTATCGCCTCCAAGCCTTAGAATTTTATATATATCTCCTGACCTAGTATTGCATTGTGATGATGGGTGGGATAAAATACTTTAAATAAATAAACCGAAGAGGATTTAAATCAGTTCTTTGGCACCTGTCCTGTTGGGGTGTTTTGAGGAGTATAAGAATTTTAATCTTGACATATTGCTGCTACATCCTTGAAGTGATGAGGCAAAGCACAAGATCTGGAGTGGATCTTGCTAATACTGCTGTTTCTTTGCTTCCTTGCAGGTCCTGAGAATCCTCCTACATCAGGTAGATGGCTTTGGCTACATTCTTATGGGGTCTACACTAACACACACCCGGTTTGCAAACCCATCGTTCACTCTGACTTTGTTGGAAGCAACACAGGTTTTGGAGCTTGGGCACTCTTAAACTGTGTTGAACTGTTCTGCCACTTAATGGAGAGACTTTTTAAACTTCCCATAGTGTAACTGAGATAGACCAGAGAGATCCTGCTTGTTTCACAGTGCTGATTGTCACTTTGGATCAAGGAGAAGGCAAAGGGAAAGAGCAAGGAAATCCTCAGGGGGAAATGGGGAGATTTATCTCATCATAGCCCATCATACAGCATCACCAGCTGAGGGATATACAGTTTGTCATGTAGCACCAACTACCAAGCAGTGGT